GTAAGGTCGAAAACAATAACTCGTGCAAAGGAAATGATGTAGTACATTTCAATTTGATTTTTTAAATCATTGGTTTTCATTTTGGGGGACATTATCTTCATCTTCAATAAAAATTGTATTCGAAGATTTTTCCTGATTATATTTTCACATTTTAGTTTTATCTAAATTGGGCTCCCTGTGCCACTGGGAGCTCCGCTTTTGGGCAGCAGTGCCAAAATTGCCCTATTTCACTATGACGTCACATCAAAACAATTTAATGTATAAACGCAAAGGATCATGGTCGTCGGAGGGGGTCAAATCAACGCAAATTCACCGAAAAGCCCGTACCAATCCACGAAGAGAAGTAGAATAGCCAGGAAACGCTCAGAATATTTTTTAGTACATATTCACATACTATATCTGAAAACCAGGCCATTTTAGATTAAACTGTTTCGCTAGGAGAAAATTTTGTTGAATTTTCCATTGGATTTGGCGATTCTATCCCCCGCCGTTTGTAGCCGGCCGCACGAGCGTGCACTTAGCCAAAACAGTGTGTTGCCAACAGACGCCCAAACAACAGCACATTAGAAATACTATAAATATGGACATGCATATCATGCTGAATGCTGAATACCTTATATTGATAAAAACGCTTGAAGTCTTGCACGTGTATTGTAGCTCACGCTGTACGTACCTGGGCGACAATACAAGTGAGTCAACACGTGAGTTTACATTAGGAAAAATTTTTTTGAAAGTTATATTTATCGCAAATATTAAACATATAGCAGATAAGAAAGGGGAGACGGCGCATGGCAGTTTCAGTTGAGAGCTGATATTGAATGCGGCTAACGACAACGGGTAAGTAAACTCGCCAGTCAAAGGGTTAACTTGAGACAACAAATTGTCTTTAACAAAATCCAAATTTTGGCCGTTCTTGTAAAACGGTAAGACGATGTTGAAGTGTCACAATATTTCGACTTTATTCAAAGCCATTTATTGTTGAATCGAAATATCTCAGACTTCAATGGTCTGAACAAGACCAACCGTTAAAGCTCGTTATAGTCTCGAAGGCAATGAGGCTATTATACAGTATGAGTGGCAGTGTTGTATACGATATATAAACTCGAGGCGTAGACGACACGAATATTGTAAATTGCTTAACAAACGTCTAGGTTAGCTCCTTTTTGTTTCACTAAAATTTTCAATATCTGAATCTGAATCTGCCCAAGAAAATCCAAGTTAAAGTTTATGCAAAAGAACATGATTCTGTATCAGAATTATGAAACTCTTCATATGGTCATGATTTCTATTATGTTTTCCTCATTTATGAATTATATATGTGATTGTTAAGTATACATACAGTTTATATGTTACAAAAGCGATTAACTATTTAAGTATGTCAAACTTTGTGATTAGTCATAAAAAAGTAAATTTTTTCCAACCAAATATAAGATGAAGGAAGTTAATGATAAAATATTGCCAAAGTAAATAATTGATATTTTGTTGATTTGTTCTGAACCTTGGTGTAGGGTGCACGCACTAGAACCATGAACATTGAATAGTACTAATTAGTACTATTTCATACAGAATCCTTTGTTTTCTATTGTTTAATTATCACTATTTAGTGCTAAAAATTAGTATTTGTTTCACGGATTTAGTGTGAGCACTCTAGTTAGGTTCCCTAATCACCCAATCTTTACACAGATCGGTTGTGTATCAAAATGACTGCAATATTAGCATAAATAACATCATGCTATTATGATCAATAGAACCTGACTAATCACTAGGTAACGGTGATGCAATACTACGTAATGTATCTTTGTCTCGTGACATGTGGATACCTCGATGCGTGGTCTTGCTCGGTCTGCTGAGCATTTGAACAAATCATGTTTTCCTTTTCGAAAACCCTAGAATTATGAGAGCTTCGACGGACTTACTATTCTTATGAAATTTCTCACCCTTTTTCAAGTTTTACTTAAAATAATTAATTTAATTCAATTAATTGAAAAAACAATGCCAAATGACCCCATCACATATTGCTCTTTTAACCAATTTATGATTGCTCGATTCTGATTGGACGAAAGGAGTAAATCCCAAATTGTACTATTATAAACGAAAAATCGCAAATACTTCTCGTACGATTCGGAATTAATAGATACGGTAGTAGATCGTGCGATTTCCTATACTAATTGAATTAAATCAATTAATAATAATAAATAATAATACTGTATAAATAAATCAATAATACTGTAGTCAGTGACTAGTACGATACAAAAATGTCATTTTGGTACTTGTGTTTTTTAGCTCGCAAAAGGGCAAAAAAGTACCTTTTATCTGCTTTTCGGATTTCTTTTATAGTTGAAACTTTTAAAAAGGTGGGACATTTCATCACATCCATTAAATCAATAAAACACTAAATTTTCTATGTTTTTTCTCGAATAAAAATGAATCGTTTCTAATCATTTGAATTTATTTTTTAAAATATATGAAAAGGGTAGGAATATTGATGTTGTAATAAATAAATGCAAAAGCTAAATTTATTGGGATTTTTAGATTCTAAACTCAGGATTTTACAAAACGTAGACTTGACACAATATCTGTCACTGATTCGATACGAACGACCTTATTTAATACTATAAGTTTGAATTGAATGTCACATCAGCAGCAGTCACGTGACTTTTTGGCGGGAAATAATGTGGAATAATTTGAAAAAGTAGAATATGCCACGATTAGTCACCGATAATTTTTGGCGGGTTCACGTAAAGCGAATTATTTCAGTATACAACCGACCCACGACCACTTATTTGATTTTAAATTTTGTCAAGTGCCCCTAAACAAGCGCTTCGATGTTTTCATATTTATAATATGTAATATTTTCCAAGCAATACTTTTTATCGGTAGTCTTAAAACAAAGGATTAGATTTTGGACGTCATTAATGTCCTTAAACTGGCAATCAAACGTAGCACGCCAAAGTCACGCGAGGATACATGACTGGTCGTACCTATTTTAAGCGCATGCCCAGTTCAGTGTTCCTTGTCAAAATCTACTAATTCGAAGACCAATAAACCCCCAGCTCACATGATGATTTCGAGCTCCCAAGATTTCTGCGACCATTCACACTATAGCAACGATTCCGCCCACGTTTCTTTTCGCAGGGACTTATCTGAATAGTTAAACGTGATGCGAAAGCAAGCCATGCTTCTGTACACGTGAGGAGCAACGTGAGTTTTTTGTCGTCAGACGAGTTTTCCCCTGACGCTCTTAGCGCTGATTGGATAATCAAGAAATTAGCAACACAAATCACAGGTATCGCAGCATATAGATTTTTTAGCTTCTGACATTGACCGAATAACCGTTTGACCTATATTAGTTTCAAACACTCTTCTTATTCAGCTGTATTTTCTGTACGCAAGAGCTGTATCAACAAAACGAAGTGCCTCAACTATCTTTAAATTCAAGATAATTTTCAGTATATTGAAGAGATGAGTACATAACCTGTACAATCCAACTGCAGTCACACAACCTACCGGCTGACGTGAGCTCATGCATGCTTGTGAACTATGAACGGTAAGTCGTCTCACTATTTTATCTATATATTGAAATTATATTCTTAGCATTAATATTATAGCCTATTTCTGCATTTCATTTTGACTTAAGTTTTCAATGCTAAAAAAACCTTCAACTTCGACCATCTCAAGCTACATTCATTCAGCATCAAAAGTATTTTAATACATTCCCGGCTCAGACAGACACAGAAATGTAGTTAGTATATAACTAGTAAGAGTAAATCTTAATTCTATACAAAGAAAAGATATTACGTCGTATTCAGGGTCTTTTCATGGTTTGCTTCGAATGCCTAGTTTTATATTGGACAAGACGCCCTTGGAGTGACACTAGCGAATTTTTCGACTACCGAAAGATCCCGTTCTACATAGGTTATAAGGGCCCTGGTTATTGCGCACCTCTTGAAACTCGTGGAAGATTAAAAAATTACATTTTAGAAAATTGCATCAAACAGACACAGAAATGTAGTCAGTATATAACTAGTAAGATTAAATCTTAATTCTATACAAAAAAAGATATTACGTCGTATTCTGGGTCTCTTCCGTCGGTTTGCTTCGACTCCCTAGTTTTATGTACTGGACAAGACGCCCTTCGAGTGACACTAGCGAAATTTTCGACTACCGTGTGAGATCCCGTTATTTATAAGGCCCCTAGTTATGAGCGCTCTTCTTCAATCTCGTGGAAGATTTAAAAAAATACATTTTTAAAAATTACATTTTTTATATTGGATTACGAATTCATTATATATATATATGTATATTATATATATATATACGACTGATATGATATTTATTTACGATGCGATTGATATGTTATTTATTTACGATTTAAGATTAATATGATTTTTTATATAATTATTTATTTTCATCAACACTTATTTATTTTATTTATCTATAAATATCATATTTATGCTATGGAAAATTGATAGATGGTTTATCATTTATGGAAGATAATGAATGACTGCAACTTACAATGAGTGCAATATTAGTAAGACAATTACTTTGGTAACTGAATACGTTGCTCACACACATAAAGGTAATATATAAGGGTTTTACGTGGACACTAGCACTAGCCAACTTGAAGTTTCTACTGTGAACGTTGAGTATATGTCATGGCGTTCAACTAGGGTTGAGCTACTCTCGTAACATTGCTTTAGCTTTACATTGGGTTATTGTCCTGTAAAATGAAAGAAACGTAACATATACTGATATTGTAGAGCTAGAGAATTTGTTTTGAAGATTTCATGATGTACAAACAAAGTCATAATTTCAGTATTCGAGAATAACATACAAGTTTTATAGTTAGAGTTCGTACGACTAAACCATGATGATGGTATATGAACTAGAAGTGGACGAACTACAACTATGTTGCAATGTTGCTGCATGGTAGGATTACCCTCTACGGATCGAAATATCAGGACTTAATTTATAGACGAAAAAGCTGTAAATTAGCTTTATAGATCAACCAGAAATCGCCTAAATCCGTCCAATGGCAGTCTCGAAACCTTTATCACTTATAGCGAGAACTGATGATGTGGTCGCAAGAAAATCTCTGTTACATACCAAATCTACATCTACTACTGCTAATTGAATATTTTAGAAAGGTTATGAGCTCAGTAAAATAAAATCACACACAAGGAAACTGATCTTTTATATTTTAAGTTGACCTTTTAATTATAACGTCAGTGTTCATGTTCGAGGTTGCTGCCGTACAAATGGTTACAGAAGGCTTGTACTGACCACTTTGGATTTTGTCAAAAGCCGACAACCAACCCGGCATAGTGATCTACAAACATTGTAAGCCCTTCCAAATATTGAGAAACGGCCCGTCATTCTTAAATTTTGTGTTCGGTGTTCACGTCTGTGTTCACTAAACCGGTTTTTATAATCGGTTTTATGACTCGGCACCTTTTCTTACTTTTCGTGACTTTAACCGAAATTCTTGACAGTCTGATAGGTCTGATAGTGTTCTCTGAACTTTGGCTACTACGCAAACGTTTTCTTGCAGGCAGAGAGTTTAGGGGGAAGGAGGAGAGTTTTATAGAATTTGTGTTCGGTGTTCACGTCTGTGTTTAGTAAACCGGTTTTTATAACCGGTTTTATGACTCAGCACCTTCAGCTTGCTTTTCGTGACTTTAACCGAAATTCTTGCCAGTCTGATAGGTCTGATAGTGTTCTCTGAACTTTGACTACTACGCAAACGTTTTCTTGCAGGCAAAGAATTTAGCGGGAAGGAGGAGAGTTTTATGGATTCAGTCGTTTAACTTGCTCGAAATACTTTTGAACAACAATTTTTATGTGAGGTCAGTTTTTTCTTCTTCAGCTTTGTCAAATACCGTTTCAAGATAAAGCTTAATACTTACAATCGTCTAAAATGTATTTTATTTTGTCGTCCGATGCATTTTACGCTGTCTATAATTTACTTATTTGGGTGGTGAATACTCGCTCCCTCTTGCACTAAAATTACACTTGTCCAATCCCATCACCCAATACACAATCGAACTGAAAGTCTGGGAAGCCTGTGATCAGGAGATCCTTATTACCAATATGCAAAACTGTAGACAAAGTCTTCAGCAATGGATGATAATCTAAATTGTACATATAGCCCGAATCGCTAATTGAGTCTGACGCAGTTTGGAAATTATGGATTTACTAGCTGAGGAAACTGCAAATCCGGTAGAGATTTGCTTTGGACATGTGTAAGAAGGCCAGAAAAACATCTGATTTGTACTGTACAAGAAATCTAAGATTTCACTTAGGTTTCTATGGTAACAATTTAGCCTTAAGGABGAAGTAACTATTGGAACAAAAGATTTAGGTTTGTTGACCTTGTAAAACACCTTCCTAACAAAGGTCAGTAATTGAATTCTATTCACCGGATAATGAAAGGTTCTTCTTATTTACTCAATAATCTGGACTTGGACCTTTTGACTTTCAGCTGTTCACAAAACCAGTTTAGTAAGA